TTATCAAGCGATATTTTTTATTCATGTAAATTACACGGCAATTTTCTTTGCTGATGTTTCCAATGCTGGTTTTTAGATAATCAAGCAGCTTTTGCCAGTTATTTATTATAGGTAAATTTCTCATTTCCTCTCTTGCAGAGCGAACAAAAGCTTGCTTCACACAGAAAATAGCGGATATTGCAGCGTCACTTATTCCATCAATATTTCTTAGAGCCTCTAGGTCAGCATTGAAAACTCTGTTTAAGTTTCCAAAATGGTTTATGAGTCCTTTTGCAATAGGTTTTACATCAATTCTACTATATGCTGAGTACAATATATGCTCCAAAACTTCATAATCAAGAAGTGATCGTCCATTGTCTGAAATTACCCTGCTTCTTAAACGTTTTCTATGTCCTTTTTGATAGCTTTTAATCATTTAAACTATTTATTTTATGTTTATATGATAATAGATTAAAATTCTTAAGTAAAACATTTAAGTTTATATACCTTTAATAAAGTTGCAAAAAATCAATCTTTTATGTATATATAAATAAATCCTCTTAATTAACATGCAGGTTGTAAATTATACAGCAATATTTGAGCTCATTGATTATGAGTTTAAAGATAACTTTCTTCTAAAAGAAGCATTAACTCATCCAAGTGTTAACAAAAGGGATAGCAAGGATCAAGTTGTGAATTACGAAAGATTAGAATTTTTGGGAGATAGCATATTAAATATGACTGTATCTGTTATGTTATTTAAATTGTTTCCCAATGAAAAAGAAGGGGATTTAGCAAAAAGAAAAACAGATTTAGTTTGTGGTAGTACGCTTACCAATATAGCTAGACAGATAAAATTAGGCGATTTCATAATTATGAATAATAGTGAACGGTGTAATGGGGGAGAACATAATTCAAAGAATTTGGAAAATGCACTTGAAGCGTTAATAGGGGCAATTTATATTGATGGTGGATTTGAGGATGTTGAAAGGTTTGTTACTAGGCATTGGAAGGAATTAGCCCAAAAAACAGTCAATCCACCTCAAGACTCTAAGACGTTACTACAGGAATGGACTCAGAGAAACAAGTTATCTTTGCCTGAGTATCAGCTTGTAAAGCGAAGCGGACCTGCTCATAGACCGGAATTTACCATCTCAGTTTATGTGAAGAATTATGGTAAAGTTTCTGCACAAGCTTATAGCAAAAAAACTGCCGAACAAAAAGCAGCTGAATCGATGATAGAAATTATTAATAATAAAAAGTGAGCACCCTTTTGTGTAAAATAGGTATATTTAAAGTCACGATTGGATTGACATCAGGCTGAGAGTAATTTAAAAATTAAGTAGATCTTTGATATATGATAAATGCCGATAGAAATATTAATGCCAGCTCTTTCACCGACAATGAGCAAAACAGGGGGGAAAATAGTAAAGTGGTGTAAAAAAGAAAAAGACAAGGTTGAAGTAGGTGATGTAATTGCTGAGATAGAGACTGATAAAGCTATCATGGAATTTGAATCGATAGATGAGGGAATCATCGCGAAGGTTTTAGTACCAGAAGGAACAGGTGGTATACCTGTTAATCAAGTCATTGCCATAATGATAGAAGAAGGGGAGAAATTTGCAGAAGATAGTTGTAAATATGAACAAAAAAATGCACCAAATACAGAAACAGTAAGTGATAAAGAAGACAGAGTGAAGATAAGTCCCATAGCTAAAAAAATCGCCAGCAGTGAAGGGATTGACATAAGAAAGCTGAAGGGTACTGGCCCATATGGACGTATAATTAAAGCTGATGTATTAGCCAGTGACTTAAAGGTAGAAAAAACTAGCGATATTATTGAAGTAAGCAACATGCGTAAAGTAATAGCTCAGCGCTTAGTGGAATCTAAACAAACTATTCCGCATTTTTATCTAACAGTAGATTGTAAAATTGATAAGCTAGTATCGTTAAAAAATGATATTAATACTGCAATCGATGGCAGTAAAATCACGATTAATGATTTAGTAGTTAAAGCTGTTGCTCTTAGTATGAGCAAATTCCCTGATATAAATTCCTCATGGACAGATAATAAAATATTGAAATATTCAAATATAGACATTTCTATAGCCGTGGCACTTGATGATGGATTAATTACTCCGATAGTTAAGAACGCTGATCAAAAAAATATTTTGTCTATTTCAAAAGAGGTAAAAGACTTAGCAGGTAGNTCAGGGGGGTGGCTTTACCGTTTCTAATTTAGGTATGTTTGGCATCAAGACCTTTAGTGCGATAATTAATCCGCCTCAATCCTGTATAATGGCTGTTGGCGCATCTGAAAAACGTCCTATTGTTGTGGATGAGAAAANGATGAGAAAATAGAGATAGTAGAAGTCATGACAGTTACACTTTCAGTTGATCATAGAGCAGTTGATGGAGCATTAGGAGCAAAATTCCTTAACGCTTTCAAGCATTACATGGAAAATCCATTGTTAATGCTTGTTTAAAGATCATTTACCACCAATATAATTATTACAATATTAACGTTTCTTGGGTTATTATCATAATAATTTATTGGTTAGAGGTAAGAAATGAGTTACACAGAACATAGTACAAAGCCTGAAATTCAAATTAAAGGCGATCAGTTATTCAAAGGTAATAGTTCTCAATTGTTATCTAACAAAGAGAATATTTCTAAATTATTATCTTATGTATATTATAGTCCTTTGTATAAAGAAGGAATAGATTATCTGCATACAATACTTGATGATATAAAAATTCATGATGTGCTGGTCTGGATGTTAAACGATCTTGAGAATACAGGAGAACCTTTTTATGATGAATTCAGTGAAGAGTATTATTTCACTACCGGTTATTTAAATTTAGTGCTGGATAAATATCAAGAGCAAGGTAAAAATTCCTTAGTTGAATATGTAGACAACGTGTTACATAATATAGAATCAAAGGATGCCCTGTATCAAGAGGACTTAAAAGATCTGTGTGCAAAGCTTCATGATGGAGTAAAGGTTAAAGATGTGCTGAGCTGGATATCAAAGGATCTAAAGAACGGAATAGAATATAATGAATCTAGCCGTCAACATATGTTTACTACTAGTTTTATGCAATTAGCGCTGGATGACATTAATAAGACCTTTGAGGAGCAAGAAAAGATAAAGAAGGAGGTAGGTCAGCTTCCTAGAACAAAACGAAAGAATAAAAACGATGTAGTTTGTATTTCGCGGACTAGTAGTCAAGATAGTGGTATCGATCTTTCTGGTAGTGTAAGTGATGATGAAGCAAAAACTTTTAAACCTTCTGTACTTCCAGAGCCACAACTAAGTAATGGAGAAAAGCAGGCATTTGAAGCTGAAACAAAAGGTGCTTTGCAAAACCTTGAATCTAAAACTAAAGAGGTTAAGAGTAAAATTAAACCTCCTGTACCTCCAAAGCCGCAACTAAGTAATGGAGAAAATCGGGCATTTGAAGCTAAAACAAAAGGCACTTTGCAAAAGCCTGAGTCTAAAACTAATAGTAAAGAAAAGTCAGTGCAAGAGCTAAAAGCTATGTTTGAAAAGAAAGCTTCAAATGTAGAAACTCCGTCTTCTAGAGTTAATGGAATAAATAATGTAAAGAGACTAGAAGCTATATTTGAAAAGAAAACTTCAAATGTAAAAAACCCGGATTCTAGAATGAAAGGTAATGTAAAGGAACTAGCAGCTATGTTTGAAAAGAAAGCTCCAAATGTAGAAAACCCGGATTCTAGAATTAATGGAATAAGTAATGTAAAGAGATTATCAGCTATATTTGAGCAAGGAAAGTAATAGCAAGATATAGATTGTAAACTTACATAAAATATATTAAGAGGGGAGCTTCTCTTCAAGAGAGCTCTCTTCAGAAGAATCGGCATCTTCAACTTTTGCAACTGATACTACCTTTTCATCTTTTTCTGTTTTAAATAGAGTTACTCCTTGAGTGCTGCGTCCTGCGATTCTTATGTCATTAACTGAAATTCGAATTAATTTGCCTTTATCCGTTATAAGCATAATATTATCATCCTGTTTAACTGGAAAGCTGGCAACAACATTGCCATTTCTGCTAGTCGTGAGTATATTTGTAATGCCAATACCGCCTCTACCGGTAGTTCTGTATTCATATGCGGAAGTTCTTTTACCGAAGCCATTTTCTGTGATGGTCAATATAAATTCTTCATTTTTAGCGAATTTTAAGAACGCTTCGTTGTCTATTTCTATACCACTTAATATCTTTTCTAGCTTGTGATCTATAACTTCACTGTGTGCAGCTTCTAATCTCTTGCTAAGTGAAACCTTTAGGTAAAGCTCTTTTTCTTCTGTGGTAATTTCCACACCATTTAATATCGTCATTGACATTACACTATCGGCTTTTGCAAGCTTGATACCCCTTACACCATCTGAGTTCCTACTCTTAAATTGGCGCACATCGCTTGCAATGAATCTAATACTTTTTCCTGACCTTGTTGAAAGCAATATATGGTTACTTTCAGTGCATACTTTAACTGCTATCAACTTATCACCTTCATCTAATTTAATTGCTATTTTGCCATTGCTTGGAATATAATCGAAATCTGCTAGAGAGTTACGTCTTATATTGCCATAAGCAGTGGCGAAAACTATGTTGAAACTCTCATCAATCTCATTTGGTAGGGGCATGATATTAGTGATAGTTTCTCCATCAATCAGTGGGAATATGTTAACCAACGCTCTTCCGCGTGCACTTGGTTCTGAGAGAGGTAATTTATAAACTTTTAGTTTATATACTCGACCAATATTAGAGAAGAATAAGACGCTAGTGTGAGTATTGCCGACAAATAATTTAGTTATTACATCCTCTTCTTTTAACCCTTGTCCCAACTTTCCTTTGCCACCACGACGTTGAGTTCTGTAGTGAGAAAGTTTTACACGCTTGATATAACCATTCATGGTTACAGTGACGACCATGTCCTCCTGTGGAATTAGATCTTCAGCTTCGATATCTACATCTGACTCTTCAATCGCAGTTTTTCGCGAAACTGCAAATCTGTTCTTGATTTCCTGTAAATTGACTTTAATTTCTTTCATCAATTTTTCTTCTGAGCCGAGGAAATCAATATATTCTTTTATTAAGTTTACCATAGAGTGTAGCTCAGCTTCTAATTTATCTTTTTCAAGCCCTGTTAAGCGTTGTAACTTCATATCAAGGATAGCTTTTGCCTGCAGCTCAGTGAACCTATATACTCCGTCTTCTAAAAAGCTTGTGCTATCTGAAATTAATTCAATAATTGTCTGTATCTCAGATGAAGTTTTCCACTCTTTATTGAGAAGTTCTCTACAAGCTTCTGCAGGATCTTTTGCACCACGAATAATTTTTATCACCTCGTCTATACTTAAGACTGCAATATAGAGTCCTATATGTATATGCGCCTTTTCTCTTGTTCTTCTCAATCGAAACTCTGTTCTTCTAACCAGTACTTCTTTTCTGAAGTCGATAAAGGCAGTTATGATCTCTTTTAATGACATCAAAGCTGGCCTATTGTTATTTAACACTAGTGTGTTAACACTAAAACTACTTCTCAGAGGAGTTAACCCTAGTATTTGATTTAATATGAAATCCGCTGCAGCGTTTTTCCTGAGTTCAATTACTACCCTGATACCAGATTTATCGGACTCATCCCTGATCTCCACTATGCCATCAATCCTTTTTTCTTTAACAAGCTCACCTATCTTTTCTATCAACTTAACTTTATTGACTTGATAAGGTATTTCGTCGATGACTATTGCCTGCCTATCTTGAGGTAAATCCTCTATGTGAGTTTTACCCTGTACAACGATCGAGCCTCGACCTGTTGCAAATGCTGATTTTATACCTGTCCTACCAAGGATTACTCCACCTGTTGGAAAGTCTGGACCAGGTATTACCTCCAGTAATTCATCTAAAGTAACCTCAGGGTTATCTATGTACAAAATACAAGCATCAATTATTTCACCAAGATTATGAGAAGGGATGTTAGTTGCCATTCCAACTGCAACACCACTTGCGCCGTTGACCAATAAGTTTGGAAATTCTGCGGGTAATACAACCGGCTCAGATTCGTTACCATCGTAGTTTGGCCTAAAATCAACAGTATCCTCATCGATGTCATTCAGTAAAAAATGTGATACCTTATGTAGCCTTGCTTCTGTATACCGCATTGAAGCAGGAGGATCCCCGTCTATCGATCCAAAGTTACCTTGCCCATCAATCAGTGGTAAAAGGAGAGAAAAGTCCTGTGCCATTCTCACTAGGGAATCATAAATTGCGGCATCACCGTGTGGGTGGTATCTACCCATCACATCACCGACAACTCTAGCTGCTTTTTTATATGGCTTACCAGCATCATATCCAGCTCTGGACATTGCATACAGTATGCGTCTATGAACTGGTTTGAAACCGTCACGCACATCCGGTATAGCACGACTTATAATTACACTCATTGCATAAGAGAGGTAAGAATCTTCTAACTCTTTTACTATTGATACTGGTACGATGTTGTCTTGCATTCTGATTATGATTTATTAAACCAAGTGTAACACTGAATTAGGTGGCTGACAACAGCCAAAAGTTCATTGGTTATAAATTTAAAAACTTGTGTGTAAGACGATATATTTTATACTTTAATATAGTGATTATGCATAATTGAATGAACTACTATAGAACTCATACGTGTAACGAATTAAGAAAAAATAATGTAGAAGAAGAAGTAACTCTCTCTGGATGGCTGTACCGCAAGCGGGATCACGGTAATTTAGTTTTTGTTGATCTACGAGATTTTTATGGGGTAACCCAACTGGTATTTAATAATGACAGGGACTTTTTTGATAGAATTTCGGATTTAAAACTAGAAAGTGTTATTACTATAAAAGGAATAGTAAAAGCAAGGACTGAAGATACAATAAACACGTCTATAGCAACAGGAGAAGTTGAAGTTGTAGTTAATGATTTATATGTTGAGTCGGAAGTAAAGTTATCTGATGATGAGGAGATAGCAAAGGAAGAAAGAAGTATATTAGCAAGTGTTGCTGGTGAGTGTGATTATCCCGAGAACATGAGATTTAAATATAGGTTTCTTGATTTGAGGCGTGAGAAAGTCCGCAACAATATTATTTTGCGTTCGCATGTTATTGCAGAGCTGCGCAAGCTTATGATAGAGCAGGGGTTTTTGGAGATTCAAACTCCAATACTCACGGCTTCATCACCAGAAGGGGCACGTGATTATTTAGTGCCAAGTAGGTTACATCCCGGTAAATTTTATGCACTGCCACAAGCACCTCAAATTTTCAAGCAGCTGCTTATGGTTTCAGGGTTTGATAAATATTTTCAAATTGCGCCATGTTTTCGTGATGAGGATGCAAGAGCTGATCGCTCTCCAGGTGAGTTTTATCAGCTTGATCTAGAAATGTCTTTTGTTACTCAGGAGGATATTTTTCAGATTATAGAATCAACTTTATATCAGGTGTTTGCAAAATTTTCTAGCAAGTCTATTGATACAAGTTCTCCACGTATTACTTATAAAGAGGCTATGTTAAAATATGGTTCTGATAAACCAGATCTGCGCAACCCCTTGTTGATTAGTGATGTCACGGAAGTTTTTCGTCATTCAGAATTTAATATTTTCAAAAAGAATATAGAGCAAGGCATGGTGGTAAGAGCAATTCCTGCTCCTAATACAGCAGAAGAACCACGTAGCTTTTTTGATAAAAAGATAGAACATGCACAAAAGGAATTTGGTGCAAAGGGGCTTGGGTATATTACTTTTGATAAAGACGGTGTTGCAAAAGGGCCAATAGCAAAATTTCTCGATGAAAATAGGCTTAATCAGATTATAGAGCTAACAAACATCAAACCAGGAGATAGTGTCTTTTTTGCTTCTGATAAGGAAAATGAGGCGGCAACAATTGCTGGTAAAGTTCGTACTCTTTTAGGATCAGAGCTAGGATTGATTGATANTTTGCTGGATTATTGATTTTCCATATTTTTTCTATGATGATAAAAGCAAAAAAATTGATTTCTTTCATAATCCGTTCTCTATGCCGAAGGGTGGTCTTAAAGATTTAGAGGAAAAAAATCCATTAGATATTCTTGCGTATCAATATGATTTGGTTTGTAATGGAGTGGAGTTATCCAGTGGTGCGATCCGTAATAACAATCTGGATATTATGTATAAAGCTTTTTCTATCGCGGGTTATAGCAAGGAAGAAGTAGACACTAAATTTGGGGCTTTAGTGCGTGCATTTAGGTTCGGAGTTCCTCCGCATGGTGGTATAGCACCTGGAATTGATAGAATGGTTATGCTCCTTGCTGATGAGCCAAATATACGCGAGATTATTTGTTTTCCTATGAATCAACAGGGTGAAGATGTTCTGATGGGTGCTCCTTCTAAGGTGGATCTACGTGAACTATTTTTGAAAGTATGTGAATAATTTTGAGAAAAGTGTGTGCTTTATTAAATTGATTTAAGTATATCTTTTGAACAGGAAATTACTTTATTAAGCATGTAGTTTTCGTGATTTTTATCTATTTTAGATAATTCATACAGATAGTTTACCATTATTCCAGCAGATTGCTTAATGCCTTTATCGGAAGTATCAGCCATCCAGTTTAACTTTTTGATTGAAGCGCCATTGCTTAAATGGAAATGCGCTACTGGGTTATGGACATAGCCATTTTTATTATAAACTTTTAATAGGTAATACGTGCATAACTTAAGCAGAGACTGCTTTACCTCACATTCACGGTGAGTTTCAGTACTTTCTAAAATTTCACTGCAAGGTTGCTTTATTTGCAACTTATCTATGATATCATCTGTTAAAGCTTCCTTTAACCACTGTGTAAACCCAGGTATTGGCGAGAGAGTAGCATATGTTTTTATATTCTTAAATTCTTTTGACAACTTTTCTACAACTCTTTTTATTAAAAAATTACCAAAGCTAATACCAGATAGTCCTGCTTGAGTATTTGATATCGAATAAAATAAGGCTACACTTGCGCTACTTGGATTACTTGAAGGTACTGACTCATCTAGAAGATATTGGATGCTATCTGCAATGCTATCTATCAGTGCAACCTCTACGAAAATTAAAGGTTCATTTGGCATTTTATAGTGAAAAAAGGCAAAACAAAGACGGTCAGAGTCTAGTCTATTTTTCAAATCACTCCATGATGAAATTTTATGTACTGCTTCGTATTTTATCAATTTTTCCAGCAATGATGCAGGTGAGTTCCAAGTAATCTGATGTAAATCTAATAGGTCTACGTCAAACCAAGTATGTAATATATTTTTTAATTCCTTCTCTAGTGGATTTAATTCTTTATATTGACTTTTTAGTCTCAGTACATCAGAGCGCATATCAACAATAAATTTGAGGCCATCTGGTAAAGAAATGAATTGTTTTAATATCTTGGAGCGTGGTGATTCGAGAGCCTTTATAAGATTTTGTTCAAATTTATAGCTTGATCTAGGATCATAATTCTTTTTGTACTCTACAATTCTTTCACCTATCTCTTCCTGACTTGGATTAAACTTTTCTGCTAAAATCTGCAGAAATTTTATTTTGCCATTTTCTGATAAATTTAGGTACAAATTGCCAAGAGATACTGTGTTTTTTCGTGCTGAAACTTCTCCACCTTTTGGATTTAAACATTCATTCATTTTTGCAATTAAAGCATCGATGTCTCTCTTATTACTTAAATCTAGGTTAATATTACCTATCCATGATCTTACAGCACCTGCAACCTCACCAAATATTTTTAATAAACTTTTTACTGTTTTTTTATCTTCGACTTTTACTAAGCTGGTTTTCATACTGGATTACTCAACTGTCACAGATTTAGCTAGATTTCTTGGGCAATCAACATCGAGACCCTTGTTCACTGCAATAAAATATGCAAGAAGCTGCATGGCAACACTATAAATAATTGGAGAAATAAAGTTGTCAACTGTAGGAAGCTGTATTACATCTTCACAAATTTCTTTGAGAAACGAAGCTCCTTTAATATCAGTGAAAGCAATAACCTTTCCTCTCCGTGTAACTATTTCTTGTATATTGGATAGAGTTTTGAAGAATAAATTGTCGTAAGGAATGATTGCTATAACAAGCACAGCATCATCTATTAACGCTATTGATCCATGTTTCATTTCTCCTGCAGCAATTGCAATAGTATTAATATATGCAAGCTCCTTGATTTTTAGTGCACCTTCCATTGCAACTCCATATGAAACTCCTCTGCCAATTAGAATAACATTACTATGTTCTGATATATAATTTGATATATTTTGTATCGTTTCAATGTGCAAAACATTCTCTATATATTTTGGTAGAGATTTTATAGCATTGCTAAATCGTTCTATATCAGCATCGTTTATTATGTTTTTGATTGCTGCAAGTTCTATAACAAAACATGCTAAAGTAGCAAGTTGACTTGAAAATGTCTTTGTTGAAGCGACACCTATTTCTGGGCCAGCAAGAGTATGTAATACAATGTCCGATATTTTTTCTATACTGCTATTGAGTGTATTAGTTATAGTAATAATGTTCTGCTTTTGTGATTTTGCATAGCATAGAGCTTCTATAGTATCTGCAGTCTCACCGGACTGTGAAATGAATAACCCAACACTTTCCTCTTCTAGTTTAATATTACTATACCTAAATTCTGATGAGATTTCTAAGTGAACTCTGACCTGAGCAATACTTTCTAACCAATACTTTGCTATTAGTCCAGCAAAGTAAGACGATCCGCATCCGACTATAGTAATATAAGTGAGCCTTGAAAATAACTCCGTGTTTGTAAGCATGATGTCTTGATACTTTGCATAGAATTGATTTATTGTTTCATGCAAGACATGTGGCTGATCAAATATTTCTTTTAGCATAAAGCTGGAATAGCCTTTTTTATCAATAAGAAAGTTACTTGTACTATTGCTTTTTACGTTACGCTTTACTTCTGTACCATTATTATATATTTCAACTTCACAGCATCTTATCATTGCAATGTCGTCATCCTCTAAATGAGATATTTTATCCACAAATGAATTCAAAGTGTTAGAGTCGGATGCAGCAAACATAGCACCACAATTATAGCCTATCGTTAATGGTAAACCTCTCTTTGTAACAAATAAGGTATCAGGATACTCTGCAAATAATAAAACTAAGGCGAAAGACCCATGCAAATTGCTTATGCACTTAAATAAGGAATCTATAGGTGATAGCCCTTCATTGAGGTATAAAGTTAATATATTAGGTATCACTTCTGTATCAGTGTCAGTATAAAATTGTATACCTATTTTTTCCAAATTCCTCTTTAGTAGGTTATAATTCTCAATTATACCATTGTGAGCAACAGCTACTTTGTTTGTATGAATTGGATGGGCATTTTTAAGACTTGGAGCTCCATGTGTAGCCCAGCGGGTATGAGCTATTCCAACTGTGCTATTGGACATTTCATTGTGGTTTATTATCCTATGCAGCTTTTCAACTCTACCTTCTGATTTTTTTACTTCTAT